GCCTAAAACACATTTAAAGAAATGCATCCATGCATATAGCTACCTTGCTATCACCAACATTAGATCTCAGTTGTTAGTATCAAGCAGTCCTGTCTTTAGTAGAAGATCCATGGTGTAAAGACATGCTGGAACATATTTTACATGGAATATTATTTATCCAGAATTTTACTGATTTAGAATTCACTAAATGCTTATGCTCCCTGTAAATATTCCTATTCATAATATAAAATATAAATAAACACAAAGAGATACAGTGAGTATTGACTCTGAAAACAAAAACAAAATAAAACAAAAATTTATTCCTTAAATTCAAAGGGAAAGCTTTCTGTTTTCATTTTAAATGTATATCCCAATGGTTTTCTTTCTACTTTCCTTCCTGCCTGCCTTCCTCCATCAGTTCTTTCTTTCCTTTTTAAATTGTGATTAGAACACTTAACATGAGATCCACCTTCCTAATAATGTTTGAATACACAATACCGTATTGTTATCTACAGGCATAATGTATAGCAGATCTCTAGAACTGACTTATCTTGCAGAACTGAAAGTTTATACCGTTTGACCACTATCTCCCCATTTCCATCTTCCTCCAGTCCCTGAAAACTACCATTCTACTCTCTGCTTCTGTGCATTTGGATCATTTAGATACCTCATAAGTGTAATTATGCAGTGTTTGTTCTTCCAGGATTGGCTTAATTCACTTAGTATAATGACCTCTGGGTTCAGTAGTGTTGTCACATAAGGGAAGATTTTCTTCTTTAAGGCTCAATAATATTCCCTTGTATGTATATACCACATCTTCTTTACCCATTCATCCATATATGGGCATTTAGGTTACTTCCATATTTTGGCTATTGTGAAATGTGCTGCAGTGGACATGGCAGTACAATTTTTTCCTTGAGATAATGGTTGCAATTTTGGGGGTGCCTGGGTAGCTCAGTCAATTAAGCATTCAAATTTGGCTCAGGTTATGATCTCATGGATCTTGAGTTCAAGCCCCACTTCAGGCTCTGTATTGAGAGCTCAAAGCCTGGAGTCTGCTTTGGATTCTGTGTCTGTCTCCCTGTACTCCTCCCTGACTTGTACTATGTCTCTCTGAAAAATAAATATTTAAAACGAATGGTTGCAATTTTTTAGATAGATACCCAGAAATAAGATTGCTGGATTATATGATGGTTCTATTCGTAATTTTTGAGGAAACTTCATACTGTTTTCCTTATTGCCTATACCATTTTGCTTTCTTATGACAGTGTACAAGGGTTCCAATTTTTCCACTTGCTTGGCAATGCTGGTTATTTTTTTTTTTTTAATTGCTGTCCTCACAGGTGTGAAGTAGTGTCTGACTGGGATTTTGATTTGCATTTCATTGATGATTTGTAATGTTGAGCTACTTGTTGTATACATGTTGGCCCATCTATACATCTTTTGGGAGAAATGTTTATCCAAGTCTTTTCCCTATTTTTTAATCAGGTTATTATTATTTTTTTGCTATTGAATTATAAGATTTCTTTATATAAAAAGGTTGTCTTTTTCACTCTGTTGTTTCTTTTACTGTGCAGAAGCTTTTTAGTTTGATCTACTTGCTTATTTTTGCTTTTCTAGCTTGTGTTTTTGCTGTCCTATGCAAAATATCATTACCAAGGCCAATGTCATGAAAGCTTTTCTCTATATTTTCTTCTAGGAGTTTAACAATTTTGGGTCTTAAAGTATTTAATCTCTTTTGAATTGATTTCTCTGTTATTGTGTGATATAAGGTCACATGTTTGTTCTTTTCAATGTGGATGTCCAGTTTTCTAGTACCTTTTGTTGAAGTCTTTTCTTTCCCCATTGTGTGTTCCTGGCTCTCTCTTCAAAGATCATTTGGTTGCATATGCATGGGATTATTTCTGGGCTCTTGATTCTGTCTGTCCCATTTGTCTTTTATGTTTTTATGGCAGCACCATACTCTTTTTTACATTTTTTAAAATAAAAATTACATATATATATGTAATTACATATGTAACACATATGTAATACATATACATATATATGTATATGTAATTTAAATATATTATACACAATATATATTGTATTTTACAACTTAAATATATATGTAATTGTCCTCGAACAGCACAGGTTTAAATTATACAAGTCCACTTATTACATGGATTTTTTATAATAAATACAGTACACATTCTAGATGCATTTTCTCTTAGATTTTCCTAACATTTTCTTTTCTCTAGCTTATTTTATTGTAGGGATAAAGTACATAAAATATATAACACATAAAACATGTATTAATTTACTGTTTATGTTATTGGTAAAACTTCCAGTCACCTAATTAACTTGCTAAGTTTTTTGGGAATCAAAAGTTATATATGAATTTTTGACTGCATGGGAAGTTGGTGACCCTAACCTCCATGTTATTCAGTGTTCCACTGACTACTACAGTCAATTAACATACCATCTTGACACATAGTTACATTTGTGTGTATGTGTAATGACCTCTATTCTGTTAGTAAATTTCCATTATATGATACAGTATTATTAGCTGTAGTCATCATGCTGTATAGTCATTGGCTGGAGAGTTATTCATCCTATATACCTGCAATTTTGTACCCTTTAGCCAGTGTCTTTTCATTTTGCCTTCTACCTGCCCCTGTTAAAAACCATTATACTCTCCACTACTGTGTATTTGACTTTTTTTAGATTCCATATGCAAGTGATATTATGTAGCTTTTTTTTTCTATGTCTGGCTTATTTTACATAGTATGTTTTCCAGTTAATCCATATTGTTGCAACTGGCAGAATAACCTTCTTTTTTAAGATTTAATAATATCTCATTATATATATCTGCCACAGTTCCCTTATCCATTCATCAATAGACATTTAGGGTGTTTCCATATCTTGACTATTATGAATAATACTGCAATGAACATGGGAGTGCGCATCTCCCTTTGAGATACTGATTTCACTTACTTTGGGTATATACTCATAAAAGGAATAGGTGGATAATATGGCTGATATGTAGTTAGTCTTTTTAAGAAACCTCCATATTGTTTTCCATAATAGCTGCACCAATTTACACTCCCACCAACAGTGCATAAGTACCATACTTTTCCAATCATACTTATCCTGTAGCTTTGTAATGTATTTTATTATTTAAAATATATTTTATTTTCTTATATGGAACCATGAAAGGACTTGGGCTGCCCAAAGAGCTGTAAGCAAAAACAGAGCTGGAGGCATCTCACATAAGAATTTTAAATAATAATATATATAAGTAATATATCTGTATATTTTATTATTTTTTAAAATTATTGTGATACCTCCAGCTCTATTCCTGCTCACAGCTCTTTAGGAGTCCAAGGCCTTTCATGAATTTTAATATTTTTCTACACTAATAAAAAAGTACGATTGGTATTTTCGTAAGGATTGAATGATCACCATAGGTAGTATGGACATTTTAACATTAAATCCTCTAATCTATGAACACAAGATCTTTCCACTTATTTGTGTCTTCTTTAATTTTTTTTATCAATGTTCTACAGTTTCAATGTACATCTTTCATCTCTTTGGTTAAGTTGGTTCCTAAATATTTTATTCTTTTTGATACTATTGTAAATGGGATGTCTTCCTTTTTTTTCTTTTTTTTTTCTCAGATACTTCATTGTTAGTGTATAGAAACACACAGATTAATTCAGGGACATGATCCCAGCTTCAAGGGCTCCACTTCAAGGATGGCTGCATGTTAAGTCTAAATCATTGATGAGGGAAAAATGAGAATCTCTTTTCTTTAGATGCTTATGTCTCTATGAATTCCAGGGAGTCTGAACTGGGTTATGACTTCATCATTTACTAGCATAACTTAGTCAAAGTTTTTCTCTTCTGTGAGCCTCATGAATTAGTATTACTGTGATTTCATAGAGTTTTTATGAGTTTGAATGAAGCAATAGAAACTATGTTTTTCTCTATTTAGATAATTTTACTTTTGTGTTTAGTTGACATTATCTCTTTCATTTTCTCCTATATTTCAACCAGGGTACATCTCAGTAAAAAAATGCTTTGATATCTAGAAAGGTTACTCCTACCTATCCCCATTACATGGACAGTCGCAGAAAGCTCTCTCCAAACTTTTTGCTGGGGCTGACCTCAGCGTGTGGCAGGCAACCAAGAAATCCCAGGCCATCCACAGTCTTCATGAATTCTTTTCATTTTTTTAATTTCTAGTGATTTTCAACTATCACCAAATTCATATTTTAAAAAACCATAAAAGTTAACTACTTTTTAAAAATACTTTGTATTATCTTCCCCTAAGTAACCTTCCATTTCTGTAAGTGCTTATATGTGAAAGCATCTCCAGAGATGGTGTGAAAAATTATAACCTCAGGGTATACAGATTTAAAGTCTTGTCAGATAAACTAATAAAGATCATTGTGTAATTGACAATTCTGTTTTGTTTGGGATGTTCTTATATTTGAAAATGAAAGTTGGGAAAAGTCATGGGGCACCTGAGTGGCTCAGTCAGTTAGGCCTCTGACTTTGGCTCGCATCATGATCTCATGGCTTGTGGGTTTGAGCCCACATCGGGCTCTGTGCTGACAGCTCAGACCCTGGAACCTGCTTCGGATTCTGTATCTCCCTCTCTCTACCCCTGCCCTGCTTGCACTCTCGAGAACTCTCTCTCAAAAATAAATAAACATTAAAAAAAATTGTTTTAAAAAGTAAGTTGAGAAAAGTCTTCAGCCATAGTTCAATTTCAGTTATTTGGATATTTCAGAGGAAAATGGTTTTGGTTTAAGTTATTAAGCAAGAGACTGGTTTATATACATCAAGGTTATTGTTCTCTTTATGAAAATTGAAAGTTTCATGTTTAGTCATAATCTTGTGCACCTTTGTTGCTCTGGGGCCATTATTGCAATCTTGCATAATTATTACTCTATAATGTTTTGAAATTTTTATAAGAATATTGTAGTGTTTATATTAATTTAATTAATATTAATTACTTTAAAATTTGTCAACAGGAGAATTTCACTGTGGATTTGAAGATGGTAACATTTGTTTGTTCACCCAAGATGATACAGATAATTTTGACTGGACAAAGCAAAGTACTGCAACAAGAAATACAAAATACACCCCAAACACAGGACCGAATGCTGATCGTAGTGGCTCCAAAGAAGGTATGAGGGTATGAAATGTTGTGTTTATAACAATCATACTCCAGCCGTGGATGTCTAAAAATGCCATTAATATGACATGCACATAATGCTTAGCTATAGATTTGAAGATTATGGGATAAAACCTTAAATTTTTAATGCACAGTTTCAATAATTCAGATATTTTCAAAGCTTGGAGACATTAATTTTCTCTCAGAATTCATAGACACATATAGTTGAGAGATTAGAATTGTTTTTGATAATTCAAGTCCAACATTCCACTTTTGTTTAAAGTTTTTGTACATTTTAAGCAGTTTTACCTTTCATTATGTAGATCATTTATTCTTTATGTGTATAAACATTTCACAAATGAGATAAAAATTCTATGCACCTAGAATGTACTCCTTATAAAAACCCTAAACCTTCTTAATGATTAAATTTCACCCCTGCTAATAATGTGTTTAAACATTTTATATTGTCTTTTTAAAGGTTTTTATATGTACATTGAGACATCTCGACCCAGACTGGAAGGCGAAAAGGCCCGACTTCTCAGCCCTGTTTTCAGCATAGCTCCTAAAAATCCTTATGGCCCCACGAACACTGCGTATTGTTTCAGCTTCTTTTATCACATGTATGGACAACATATAGGTAAGATGGCAACAATTATTATGTTTCTTTTAAAGTAAATCATAACGAAGAAGAAAACGTTTACAAAGACACAGCATGAAATCAATTTTAGTCAAAGAATATCATCACTGTTTTTTTTTTTTTTTTAATGTTTAGTCATTTTTGAGACAGAGACAGCATGAGCAGGGTAGAGGCAGAGAGAGAAGAATTCACAGAATCCGAACCAGGCTCCAGGCTTTGAGCACAGTGCCTGACACAGGCCTCAAACTCATAAACCCCAAGATTATGACCTTGGCCAAAGTCAGACGCTGAACTGACTGAGCCACCTAGGCACCACTATCAATATTGACTTTTAAATGACTTACCTTCAAATTGCAAAATAAGAGGCTAAGAATGTTCTCCTATCATGTCCTAATTTCCAAATTTTAGATTCAAATTTGAACTTTGGATCATTACCTACCCCTTCTATAATCCTAAATCACACAGACCATCAGTGTGTTAAATTTTTGATGTGATCTTATTGTGGAATTAATAGTAGTATAATTTAAGCAGCTTCTTTTCAAAGAAATTTGCTCAAATAATGACTCGGTGTATATTAATGACCACAAAAAGTATTGCCATATTTGGAAGATAAATACCATTAGCACTGTCTATACATGTAGAATAGTGGGATGATATTTTCTTGTTTATAAAGTATGCCTAACACACCTAGTAGGATTTAAGAACATCCTCTGTCCTGAAGAGCATGCAAAGTTGAAGACACACTCCCTGCCCTAGATACCTACAGTAATGGATGCTAAGATGAGTAAATACACATCATGCTGGATAGCATACCACATAACCTTAGAGAGAACAGAGCGGAATGGCTGTGGGAGCTGGGGAGAGCTCATACAGTTCTACAGTTCTTTATGCACAATTCTAAAACCCAAAACACTGAACACAAAATTTTTAAATTTATTTGGCAGCACATGCTATTTGATCTACATGTGTTAGACTATATGACCCGAAATAATCTGAGCTTATTTAGTCTTTATTTATCCAAATAAGTGTGAACATTTATTTGCAGCAAAAATATGACTATGTTTGATTATGAGATTCTGTTTCAGATCCTTCCAGAAACTGCCATGATACACAAGATACACATTCTTTTACCTTTCTAAAATAAGCCAAAATTCTGAATGGTGAAGCATCTATCCTCACAGAGCTTAGACAAGGGATTGTGGGTCTCTATCTAGAGGAAGAATAAGGCAATGCTTTGGGACAAAGGAAAACATCTCTCTATGAAAGAGGAGTACATTTTCAATGGTCAGAGATGAGCACAGGGATGATTAAGGCACTGGTAATGAGGAAATAAAATGTGGAAAGTTAGGATGACATTATGTGTTTTGATGTAAATGAACAAAACTAAAAATATAAATATCTAATTATATAAACTAATACAATTGTGCACATGATATATGTCAGCTAAAGTATTTAGGTGAAGTTATTCTCTTAAACATTTTATAAAAATGAGTATAGCATCACTGTCCATTTGTTACAGTGGAGAAAACTGAGCCTCAGAGAGTTTGTACGGATTACAAGGAACTGGTTATACTGGGATATAAACTCATTGCCAGCACTATTAGCCAGTATTTTTCACAGTGGAGCACTAGATAATACACCAGGAAGGACAAACTTGTGCAATAAAAAGTCCCCTGAACATGAAGTCAAGAAATCCGGGTTGGAACTTGGCTGTAGCTTACTGGAAGAATTTAGAGAATTCACTTAAAACATCTGGATCATGATCTCCTCATGTGTAAAATGGAAAAAATAATTCCTATTTCAGAAATTAGTTCACGCTAAATGGGATAACATATATAAAATCTCATATCAGATGGTAGACACTCTTAATCTAAGGTTACTTTGAATCTCAAAAAGCAATAATAGCAATAATAAAGTAATAGCTAATGTTGGTCATTATTCCTAACACGTCATGGATTATTTCTTTTAATTATTAAAGTAAATATTTGCACTCATTAAAATCATTATCTTCTTTCATAGATAAGGAGACTGATACAGAGAATTTTACTTCACTTGCCATAATGTCACAGCTGATAAATAGCAAAGCCATGATATCAATCTGGGAAGGAGAACAGAGCTTTACTGCTTCACTGCTCTGTGGGGAGACTTCCTGGAGTGTCATAAATGTTTAGCTAATTTAGTAGTTGGGGGGAGGTATTACAGATTTTGGGCAGATTTCTGATTTGGGAAAATAAATCTGACAAGAGTGAGTAAAATCATGGAGAAACAAAATACAGACTGGAAAAGCGTTAGAAAGTTGTGACAGTAGTCATAGCTTCACTACGGCCAAACCTACAAAGGGAAATAACTCTCCACACAACTGCCAAACCATCTTATTTACCGTGAGATTAAGATCTTCTTACAAAGGTAGGATTAGCTCAACTCTCATTTTCCCATTAGTTGGTGGTGTATTTTTCATTTTTCACTTCATTTCTCTTCTCCCAATTTACCTTGGAACAGGCTTTGTTTTTAAATAGATAATTCCAAGATCAGTATTTTTAATTACTTACATGAGTAAAGTATGCATTTACTGTTTTTATGAGGCTGGCCCCCTCTCAAGCTTTGTCCATATTTATATTAATATCCAAGATAATGTTCATATACTTTTAACTTCACAATTTTTATCCTTATCCTTTTTTTTGTCAACAAATGTCCAGTTGACTTCTGCCAGTTTTATTCTGATTGTTTCTGGAAGAAGGCAGTTCTTCATTTCTTCCATGTTCTCAAACATTTACCATTTTGATGCCTATGCCATTTCTCTGCTTCATCAGATTGTTGAAAGTTGCAGGTATCAGATCTATCACTGGAGTCCCTCCCAGGAGGGCACAATCATGCTGCTTACTAAAATCTAGACAAAAAATGTCTGTTTCAGACATTGACTAACCAATTAGGACCAGATGAGTGACCTCATTAGAGCGAGATTGCCTGTAACTGAAATCTTCCCTCTTAGTAAATATTATTGTAAGACACTCATTTATCTGTAAACCTGGGGGGCATTTAGAGTCACTGGTTTTACAAATGACATTCCGTTTTCTTCCTTCTTTTTGAAATCCAGATTGAAAAATGATTTGGGTGGATTTCTTATAGCCTAATTGTGGTTAATACTTCTTGAGTAACCATACATAATCTATGCTGTTTAAACTTTGACTAATGCTCAATATATCATTGAGTTGTAACTCTTTAACGATATAAAAGTGGGCTATCAGTTATGCATTACTTAGAAAAGAGATTCCTCTTTGATGTAACGTCAGATATGTTGTATTATTGATCTATTCCTGTATAAAAAGTTTCCCCAAAATTTTGTGGCTCGAAACACAAACATTTATCCCTCAGCATCTCTGGGTCAGGAATATAGGTGAGGCTTAGCTGGGTGTCTGTAACACATGGTCTCTCATGAGGTTGCAGTCAAACTATCAGACATGATGGCCATCTTATCTGAAGACTTGACTAAGGGATAATACTTCTTCTAAGCCCACTCACTTGGTTTTTGGCAGGCCTCACTCTTTCATAGGTATTGGACTAAGAACATTGATTTCTTGCTGGCCATTGAGTTCCTCTCCATTCTCTCAAGTTCCTTGTCATAGGGACATGTCTACAGGACTGTCTCATGGCATGGCAGCAGGCTTTCTCCAGAATAAGCAATGACAGAGCAAATACATACCCAAGACTTTTTATAACCTAATCTCTGAAGTGGCGTTCCATAATATCTGCCTTATTCTATTCATTATAACTGAGCTGATATTTCCGGCCCACATTCAATGGGGGGAAATTACATGTGTTAATGCTAGGAGGTTGAAATCATTGGAAGGCATTTTACCATTTATTTGCCACATGGGTAAAATTTTTTGTTACTTATATGTTTCATCAAAATTGAAGAAAAAATAAATGAAAACTACAACGTGTCACCTTTAAACTAACTGTTCATTTATAAGTCCATGATATAATAGCTGTTGACAACAGTATAAGATTATTTAAGCAACCCTGTAGGTACTAGAAGGCATTTTGATTCTTGATGAATCATCTGAATTTCTAATGTTTTTGCATTTAAACTTCATATGAGGTCACTTGATATGACAAAAGCTTATTAAAATCAGTAAAATATATACTTCATTTATTTCTAGAAAGAATGTTAGGTATAAGCATACCAGGAAATTAAAGATAAAAATACAGAGGGCACTTATTGAACGCATTCATTGAACTTGATAAGAATGGTTCAATAAAGTTGTGGCTCTAGAAAGCTAATTTTACTGTGGAACAAATGGGAAATAAGAGTCCAGTCATGAGATCTGTTCTTTTCATGAATCTTGCAGGTGGGGAAGAAGTGATAAAGTAGAGAGATGCGGGGTTATAGACGTGCGTATTTTTAAGACAAAAAAATTAATAGAGAAGTTTCAGGGCTCCTGGGTGGCTCAGTCGATTAAGCGTCTGACTTTGGCTCAGGTCATGATCTCACAGTTTGTGGGTTTGAGCCCCATGTCAGGCTCTGTGCTGACAGCTAGCTCAGAGTCTAGAGCTTATCTTTGGATTCTATATCTCCCTCTCTCTCTCTGCCCCTCCCCTGCTCACGCTCTCTCTCTCAAATAAATTAAAAAAAAAAACAAAAACATTAAAGAAACTTAAAAAGATAAGTTTATAGGTACCAAAGTCAGAGGGAAGCGAATTTCTTGAAAAGATGGGAATTGAGAGTTGTAATTCCCCTACTAGATTTCAAGGGGGATGAATGTCACTTCCACTTAGGTAGAAAGAAAAGAATGGGGATTGTGGCTTTTGGTGCATTCTTAGATGCAAGAACAGCAAGTGGACTTGGAAACTGCCTTTTTAACAGTATCTAACAGTACCTGTTTTTTTTTTTTTCTGTAAAATAAATATAGCATTTGCATGTTCAAAGAGTAGACCATTGTAGGAGAATAGTAAATGGAAATAGAGACTGATCAGTGACACAGAGAGAGTGGAAGCAAAGA